AAGTTGAATGTAATGTAGATGGACATACCTCCAGCATCACCCAAGGGCACTGAAAATTAAATTTGGTAAACATATATGTATCAGCAGGTGACTTCAATGTTTTATTGTTGAGTGACATGATCTGACGAGACGTGAAATGAAAAAATGAATATATAAAACTCAATTTGCTAAGATTCTAAAAATAATAATAAAAATAATATATATCGATGTCAATTTATATTCAGGTTAATGAAAAAATAAAACAACGAAACAATTTTTGCAACAACAAACAGTTCAGATATTTGCTGTAAAATCGTTTTAAAAAATTAACTTGGAACAATTTAATAAGAGTAATTATAAAACCCAGCAATCCACAGTAATGTCACAATCCAATCAAATAACATAAAAAAAACAACTTTCTTGAGCACAGCAAACAACGCTGCACATGTTATTGACACATCTGATGGCACAATATGATTGATAAATATTATTGTCAGATGCTATAATTACGATATTATTGTTAAGATGGTTATCAAAATCCGTTCTATGTGTGAGTATGTATGTGTGTGTGTGTGTGTGTGTTTGTGTGTAAAATTCATTCGGTTAGATGACTGAAACTCAAAATTTCTAAGTAAAGTCAACCAATCAGAAAGAAGCAAAAACAATAGGCCAAATCGAATTGGTAAGGTCAGGTAGTTATTTTTTTTTATAAGTCAGGTTGCAATTCCATGAGGCAACTTCTATAACTCTTCATGATATGCACAAGTGCGTTATATTTGATGAAATGTTTTTACATTAGTTGTTAGAAAAAAACATTGTTTAAAATTATTAAACCAGAAATAAACTCAAAAAGCTACAGGAGCATGCAAACAACATGTACAGAACATTAGAAGTGGCTTGTTAACCTGTTATAAACAACAAGAGCTGTTATAATCATATCATTTTTTAAATATTAAAATGGGAACAAAAATCATGCATGCACTGTAGATGTTGCTACAAAACTGCATACCATAAATTATGTTGCAGTATCTTTTTTCTGAAACCTTTTCTGATGGTAAGTCAATAAGAATGATTTCACCTTTGAGCACAAAATGAAAACCAACCAAAAGTGATAAAAATGTGCGCGCTCATCTTTCTTTATGATAAAATAATGCACAAACTCTCAAATTTAAATTTTAAATTATGCATACATGCAGAAAACCTAGCTTCTGAAAACATCCATCCAAACAGCTGATCAACCAGCCAGGTGTGACCAAACAAACAGCCAGTCAAACAGACAACTTGCCAAATAGCCATCCAACCAATCAAACAACCAGCGAACCATATAAAGAAACAAACACTCAGCTTATCAGCCCATTAACCAGCCAACAAGTGAGCCATTCAGTTAACAAACAGGTAAACCAATCAACAAACAGACCACTTTCAACCGGATTGTAGTTAAACACAGCTAAACAGAACACGCTCTTATAACATTAAAATCAGAGCCCTATATAGAAGACAACAACAAACAAATCAGTATTAGGACCATCAAAAATAGTCTGCCTGGCAAATGTGTGAATGCGTGTGTGTGTGTGTGTGTGAGTGTGAAGTCAAAGGGGAAATGCAGGCATACAATTATTTCCCAAGAGCACAATGTGGCAAAACAACGAAACAGGAGTGAAATGAGATCAATAATCATTATCTATTGAATTCAAGTAGTACCAACATATTTCATAACATATGAAGTATAGATACATTTATAATGTATCTATAGTTCATTTTGAAATTATTTATTTATAAGAAGACAATGACTTATGAAAGTTAATACAATTGGTTCAATGACAGTTGGAACAAACTGAACAAATTACATCAAATTGGAACTCATATAAAACAAAGATCAAATCAAATCAAATCACTTTTATTCAATCAAACAAAACCAAAAGCATGAATGATTTGGAGACCAAAAAAAATTAATTCTTGTGGGCTCGGCCACAAGAATTGATTGATTGCAGGTTGATTGATTAAAAGATTGCGCAAACAACCATAAAAAGCAGAGAACAAAGTATCATAAATAATACATTGAACAAAAATTGATGATTTTTAAAAATGCAGAAGCACAATGACGAGAATTATTTCAATTCTGAGCATTGATACATATTGACAAAAATTAAAATGAAAAGCATAACAAATAATAATGAACAAATATCTGTAACGTGAAAACATGAGCTGACCGTACTATGGAAGTCATCACAGAGATGCCTCACAAACAACAACTTGAGAAAAACAAACAATGACTCAATGGACACCAACAACATCCCAAACAGCGTGGTGTGCCACACTCT